TGATGATGATACATGAAGATGGTACATGATGGAGATAATTGATGATGATAATGATACATGAAAATGAATATGACGAAAATAATGACAGTTGTAATGAATAATGTTGGTGACGACAATAGTGATAATGGCAATGAAGACAGATGCATGATGCTGACAATGAAAATGACTTTTGAGGACTTTTGATTACGATAACAGCGATGGAGATGATAAAGGCATGAAACATGATGATGATGATGATTGTTGATGATGATGAAGATGAAGATGGAGATGATGATGAAGACATTCAAGATGCATGATGGTGATGATATATAACCTAATCATTTACCTGTAACAGTAAAGGTGACGGCGATACAGGAGTTTGAAAGACGTAATCAGCATTAACCAGCTGAGGATTCATAACCTACAACATTCATTAATATTACACGAACAGTTACATAAACAGTTATCAATCACATACAACGCAGGAAGTTCAACAATCGCATTGGAAATGCCAGGCAATCACTGGACAAAGGGTAACCATACAATTTATACTGTGGTTCCGACCACGACAATAACAAACCAGTCAATGTTGCAGCAGTTTTCCCAGTGGAATAGGCCATTTGTAGTACATAATCACATGACTGTTACTGGATGGCAAAAAAACCCTTCCTTCATTTAAATAACTTTCGCTGTATTACTAATGTCGCGTCCAAAACCTTTTTGAAAATACTTATTTTTTTAATAAGATACTTTCGATTTCAAGAAGCATTTTAAAGATAGTTTGCCATCCAGTAGAGTCTTCTCTAAGGAACCTTTGCCTGAATTGATTCGTTATCAAAGTGATATATCAGCATGTGACTGTTTGTTGCAAATAGCCTATTAAAATCTTGTCCCACAAACAAATAATGAATAAGTACTACAAGGATTATGAGGCTATACTGTTTTATTTTCACAGTGCAGTAAACAATAATCATTGAAATCTGAAGCGAGATATTCTAGCTAATTTGTTGAGCTTKGGGACATAGCAACGGTAACTAAAGGGGAATCAGAACCATGAATTCATGACTTACTAGGTTTAATTCTCTTCTTGTTCTGCCGAGGAATGGTTCAGGTAATGTCGCCAGATGTACACTATCAGGTATATGTACATGACCACCATCAATGTCAACCAGTATCACATCAGACTGAAAAGTAATATTTTTAAAATATTATTATTTCATAATTTATTCAAGATCCACAGGGAAAAAAACTGGATTCACAAATTGGGAATTGTAACAAAATTCCCAACAAACTAACATTGGGAATCAGTGCCACGTTCCCAATTTTGTTCTCTCTGGGAATCGTATGGGAATTTGTTGGGAATTCAAGGAAATTCCCATCAAATTCCCAATTTGGGAATCCGTTTTTTTTCATGTGATCTTTATGGTAGCATTAAGGTGGCTCAAAATTCCAGTAAGCTTTAAGAATTTCACAGGGATTAGAAGGAACAGACATTTCAAATTCAGCAAGAATGTCATAAAGGAATAAAAATCTGTTTCTCACCAGGTCAGGAATATTGTCCTTGTAGTGCTCGTGTACTCCCATGATGAATGGAGTCGGTGCATTTAGAAAGTCAAGCAGATCCGATGGAAGAATTGGAATATATACATAGCTGAATCAATAAACAAGCAAAGTTAAATTAAGAAATATTTCATTATTATATACAACATATGTTTTTATGCTGCATTTATATTCAAAGATTATCAGTGCCCTGAAACAACCTCTGGGCTGATCTAAGTCAGGGCATGGCTAGCTCACAGATCAAATCCTGAAACAACCTCAGGGCTGATCTAAGTCAGGGCATGGCTAACTCACAGATCAAATCCTGAAACAACCTCAGGGCTGATCTAAGTCAGGGCATGGCTAACTCACAGATCAACCCTTAAACAACCTCTGGGCTGATCTAAGTCAGGGCATGGCTAACTCACAGATTGAACCCTGAAACAGCCTCTGGGCTGATCTAAGTCAGGGCATGGCTAACTAACAGATCAACCCTTACACAACCTCTGAGCTGATTTTGATATTCTGAAAACTCTGTCATTTTAATGGCTTATTTTAAAATTGGTTTTTTACTGCCACCAGTCAAGAACATAAAAGGTACAGACTGATCACTTTTGATTGACAGCAGCAAAAAATCAAATTTCAGCCTGTAGCTCGCAACTACTGAGTTTGCAGCAACTTGGCTTCCTTAATAACTGAAACATGGGAACATTTTCTTATTGAGTTACTGTACCTTACCTGAATTTTAGTGGATACATTAGTGCTAGCATGGCTCTTGTTGCATTGGTAAGCAAAACATAACTGCTAGACATGAAAAGAATTTTGTTCTCTGTGACGGCGGCACAGAACAATGACATCATGTTATGAATCCCTGAAAAATGAATAATGGGATAAGAAAATTTACTAGTAAAAACTACTACCGCTATTTTCAGAGTTGGCCGCTGGCCGTTTTTGATTGGATCGAATAAAGTTTGAAGTTGACTGTTACACGCCTCCAAACATTGTTTTGAGACTCATGAAGTTATGAATTGTCACTGCCTAAAAGCATTCCATTTTGCACATGAACTTCTGAATAAATCAAAGTGGAATATTTGTGCGACTACTTTGTGAAATGCGAAATTTATCCGCTATCTTTGTTATGGAACCTGGAAAATATCCAGTTGTGATATTTCCTCCACATTTAACAATTTCGTCAATGACTGTCTTTCTCAAATCATTTTTTAGAGCTTTTCCATGCTTGTAAGTTCTCCCGTTCTTGCTTAAAAGCATGATAACAAGGCAAGTTCGCACGTCAAGAAAAACGAGTTCACACGCCAAGTCTAACAAGTTCATGTGGCGAAAGAACAAACTTACAAGTCACCTATGAAAACAATGTTTAGGGGTGCCTGATTTAATGACTTCGAACTTGTCTCGATCAGGTAAAATTCGGCCAGCGGCCAGCTTGACTGGAAATAGCAGTATCTGTGAATAATATCTTTTAAAATTTATCTATTTATTTTTATCTGTGAATAAGATATTCCTGACAAATAAACTCTTCTCAAAATTATCTAGAATCTGAGGCTATAGCGATACTTCATGTCATGTTAGCTTTTGTTACTTATAAGCTAACCAGAGATTGATTGGCTGGTGACACAAAGCAACTCGTGAAGAGCGTTTGTGAATCAAAATGGTTGGTACATTAACATCATTATGGTTAGGTTAGTAAACATACAGTTTCTCTATAACATGGAAGTACAACAGAAATGCCACAATTCCATCAGAAGATTAAGTCTAACTTAAACAGTTGAAATATATACTAACCTATCTGCTGAAACAGAACAGCGACACTTTTTTCAGTGACTGGGATTGTCTCTGAAACAGGCGGGCACAGAGTCTGCCGGTCACCAGCACCAATTGAAAATGTCAACTTAGGCCCTCCTGGTGGAGGTACTTTGACAAATCCTAGGATAGATCCAATAAGTTTTTCTAGCAATGTATTGTTGCCCGATAGAAAGGAAAGATAGACTGTTGTGAGGCAATTCTGAAAAACAAACCAAATATCTTCTATTAATCATTGGAGATTGAAATAAAGAGTTCTTTTTTTCTTGTAAAATGATCCCATCTTTCTGAAGTGTCAAATGAAAAATAAGATGACTATCAAAATTTGGCCTTGTGTGTCTTTATCGCATCAAGCATTTTCATATTATCATAATATGATATTACAAAAAAAAAAACGTCCTTTTTTCACGAGGGTAGCACTTAATAGCCAGTAGCTAACAAACCTGTGGCCCTCATTCCGTGATCAAATTGGAGTTTAGGAGTTGTTGCGGGGGGAGGAAAACTGAAGAACCCGGAAAACCTTCGAAGCACAGGAGAGAACCAACAAACAACTCTACTCATATGCAACATCGAGCCAGGCGGGACTCGAACTTGGGTCGCATTGATGAGAGGCAAGCACTCACACCACTACGCCACCCATGCTTCCCAATCCGTGTGGTAGACACTGTACCATTCATTTCCCCAGTGAATATGCAACAAGATGATTATTTATACCTTGAGAATATGACCTATAGCTCAGCTGGTAGAGCATCGGTAGTACAATTCTGAAGGTTTAGGGTTTGATTCCCAGTGAGGTCGGAAATTAATTTTTCCGAATTTATTTCCAAGGGTCTTTCGCCCGGAATAACCTCGTTCCCAAGCACTATAATTTATCTATATTTCTATATCTTGTATCTCAAAAGTGCTACGTGGTCCACATACTGTATTCTCATCTTTGCATCATAATTACCGCGACCTAACATCTATTTCACCCCGGCCTGCTCTCAGTCTGACCTCTAGCTCAGCTCGTGGGTTCGATTCCCAGCGAGGTTGGAAATTAATTTTTCTGAATTTATTTCCAAGGGTCTTTCGCCCGGAATAACCTCATTCCCAAGCACTATAACTTATCTATATTTGTATATCTTGTAATTATTACCTTGAGAACTTCGAAGTATGTCACCCTCGACACCAAGCACAAACATTTTGGAACATAAGCATCTAGAGATAAATCTTCATTATTGAATGATATCCCAGGATTGCTGTCTGGTATTGTTCTTACAGAAGAGGTATCCGACATGCTTTCATTCTTAGAGCTTTTGGTATATTTTTGGTTTGGAGTATATGGTTCGTAGAAGGTAAAACAGGCACAATAACTGTGTAATCCATCCATGTCTGTGAGGACGGAAACAAAGAAGGTGTGTGGCTTGATGAAATAGGATGTTTTCCATCCACTTGGCTGACAGAACTAAATGAAAAACGGGGAAAAGGAAATATGAGCAAAAGCATTCAACAAAAAGCCTATTATAACTACAATGTAAATCAACAACTCGGCAACAAAGAATGTTTGGAGCCTTGACTGACAGAACTTAATGAAAAATTGAGAGAAGTGAAAAAATGAAAGAAAAATAATTAAAAACATTCAAAAACAATTAGATTCTGATTCAATTGCTTTCTTTCAATCATTCATCATTGGCTATCATATATTCTTGTAAGGTTAAATGCAATGACTCTAGTATGTTTGTGCAAGCAAAAAACAATACATCTGTAATCCATACAAATACTAAAGATCTAAAGTAAGACAATAAAAGACAAATATATAAAGATATATATTTAATGACTGACTTCTAAATTTGATGTGTTTATTGAGGTATGTAAATAAATGGTTTTATTATTGGTAATTGATAAATTTATGTAAATGATTAGTGAAAAATATTCCTGATCAACAGCTACATATTAAACGTCTCTAGACTTTCTAGGAGTTTATCAGTTTCCGACATCATTCGACTTCTCAAACGTACTTTAACTAGTCACAAGTTGGATTTTTATAGTTTTTTAGTGTAACGATGAGATTTAAATGAGTGTGAATAGCAAAAGTCAAAGAGAATTGCAACTACGATTTAGCGCCCAGGGCTTCCAAGATCACCTTGCAAATCATTCGACATCCAGCACTATCGATATATTAAAGATATACCCTTAAAATAATCCAAAAAAACATATAATATCGAAACACTCAAAAGCCATGTTGATAAAGAATAGATAGTCAACCAAGGATGAATAAATATAAAGAGAATTCCGTTCAAAACACGAGGATCAAAAGCAATAAAATTAAAGGCATTAGAAGGACAGACATAATACCTAAGCACGACTTTTGATCTGGGAATTTTATAAAACAACAGCTTAGAATAGAGCCGAGTCGAAAGGCTTCTTACCAGTTCAATCCCTTCTGGAAAAGGCACATCTTTTCGGTCTTGAGCTGGGAATCTTTGCAGCACTTTTCCTTTTATCTCGTCACCTACAACACCAAACACCAGCATTCATCAGTCAGAACATCATGTTCAACTCAAGTGCAGCAATATTTCCAACTCAATAAACAATAATTATTCAACGGTTATGGCTGTAGTATAGTTCTCACCTAAACTTGAGTCCTTGTCGATGCCAACAACGGCAAAGTAGTCGGCAAGACGAGACATTTCTCGACCGACTTTTCATGTAGGAAGCATTACACCCTCAGTCTCCGACGCCATGTTGGATGCTCTCTTGCGCATGCTCACCGCACGTACTCGAGCCCATCCCTCGATACTCGAAACTCACGGGAAATCACGGGCGGTTCTCGAAGGAATTTGAAGCGATGGAGAAAAATGCCTTTAGGATTAAAATATATGAAATTTATATACGAAACTCCTTTCAAACCTGAAGAATAATCCCATTATTAATATACTTTTTGTGCATTTTTCTTTTTTTTTAATTTTTTATTGCTAAGGGCTCGTGGGAAGTGAAATAATGCAAGTAAGAATGAGAAAAATTCACATAGAAGGGAAATAGAAGGTACTCTAGCTCTTGAAGAGATTCCTATTTTATAGGTATCAAGATCAAACCTGTTTTTAATGGAAGTAATGGAACTAAGTGAAGAAATCCTGGAAACATGTCCATTGGGTCTCCTGTGTTCTCACCACAGGAGTCCCATGAACATTACTTGACCCAATCCGACAGTGGCCCAATAACAATGAAAATGATCAGAGCTTGATCATTCAAACATCACGCGATGCATTACAAGCTTGAGCATAATGTTTTTCTATTTCAGACCATGTCATTCCATTTATTATTATTTCTTTCTTTCAACCAGCAACTGACTTGCAAAGATTTCATGATTTGAAAGAGGATGAAACAAAGTTTTACCTTGTATAAAGGTGATGATTTGAAGGGTTCCCATCCCCTTCTCAAAAGAATAAATTGAAAAATACTGCAGCAGTTTTTTGTATATTCAATGAATAAGGAGAGTTGTTGTTAATCTAGGTCATTACTCCCATTATAAATTGTGCATTCAAGCTGTCAAAATGAACACCAAAAGCAAAGAGCCCCTTGATATCAGTAAGGAGGCAAAGTTCCAGCTCATAGAGTACAAACATTATAAGTGTGCAACATAATTACCACTGAATACTGCTAAATTATGCTAATCCTATTGTTTTCTATTGTTTAATTAGAACTATTTACTACTAAATAGTGCCAAGTGTCACACGCTTTTAGTGTTTGTAATCTAACGTGTGACAAAGGTTTGCTAGCCTGTGTAGCAGAGCTTTGGGGAGGGGGACTGGGGAGTAGGTAAGAGAAGTCAGTCAGTCAGTCAGTCACTTCCCCAAAGCACTCCTACACAGGCTAAAGGTTTGTCATCCAACACATTTTCCCAAACAAATCTTTGATTTTATATTTATATCCAATCATTATTATTCTCCTATAGTAATGTTCCCTGGGGTGGTATATTGATAGGTATAGTTTTTTTCAGACGCTACACAAGAAAAGTACCAGATTACCAGTTCCTTTTATTTCATGATAAAAATAGCAAATAATCTCTAAAATTTAAGGACAATTTACTAGGACAATTTTGACAGTATCAGGCATCCCAGCCACTTTTTAGACAAATTTGATAGGAAATATAGGCTGTGCAAGTTCTAAATATAGGAAAATATGGGATTTTTCCCCAAAAATATATGCACTTTATAGGAGCTAAGATAGCTTTTCGGTGGCGTAACCAGGGATCGGGAGGGTGCACAGGCAATGATTTGCAGAACTAAAAGGCCATTAAAAAAACAGAACCAAAAAAAAAGGGGGGGCCATTTTATTTCCTTCGCCAAATATGCTAAACAGTGTAAAATATAAATGAATCACTCAGCAGTTGTCCTATTTATAGGAAATATAGGAGGTTTTCTTTAAATATAGGCTCTTTATAGGATCCTATACAAATTATAGGAAATATAGGATATATAGGAGGTCTGGGATGCCTGCAGTATCTTTACTGCACTATTTTTCAAGCAGTCAGGATTTTCCCTGTGGCATGACTTCCCTCTTGAATGCATCTTCCAGCACCATCAAGGCTTGTATTGCAGTTCTCTTGACATCAGCATTATCATCTCTCTCCATCAAATCTTTCAACCAGTTGTGTACCTCAAACAATTCTGCTCCACGCTCGCTGAATAGTAAATTTATTGGAACACTCGTAAAGACCATGACGAGAGCAAAGACGAGTACTTGTCGTACAACAGGCTCTTGGTGGTATCGCAGAGCCCAGGTAAACTCAATCATGGCTGAGCCCATAGTACAAACCATTGGAGTACCTCTAGCAGAATGGATGATAACACCAAGAGTGTAAATAAGTCTGCCGAGAACAAAACAGTCATCCCCTAGCAAGTCTAAAGTGCTTTGTTTGTGATCATAATTTGTCATCAAAGGGAATAAAAAGTGACCTGCAACTTGAGAAAATCTATTTGCAACTGGCTTTGGTTGTTCTTTTGAAGGCCCTTTGGTAAATCGTTTTGTTTTCTTTTCAATTCTCTCTTGAACAACTCTTTGCCATTCTGGAATACTTTCAACATTCATTTGATTGTTATATCCTGGAGGCAAGAACTTCTTCGAACCTGGTTTATCTTGTTTAAGTTCCACTGGTTGGGAGAGCTCTTGTGCACTAGCAGTAAGAACATCCAGGATGTCCAAACGCTGAATTATGCTATAGTTAGCAGCGTAAAATTCATCAGTCAGGAATTTAGCTACTGGAACTGGACATCGCACTGTAATTGCTGTCATTGCCTTGAATCTCATCTCCTGAAAATTATCCGTAGAGAAATGATCTTGAAGATGAAGAAGAATCTTCATCAGTTCAACACAAACTTCGTCCAGATCTCCAGGTAGAGCACAGACAATCTTTTCTAAACTTTTCAAAGCAGATTCAAACTTCTCCATGTTGTCACTGTTGTTATCAAGCAATGCTTCCATGCAATCTCTTAGGTGTCTAAGAGGTCGTTGGGTTTCAGTGTCTTCTTCATCAATGTTATAAGGCTTAAGATCATCATCCTCATCATCATCATTTTCTTTTCCAACTCTGCCTTTTATCACATCAGCAAGCTCAGACTCTTGAGATTTCTCCAGCGACACCTTGCTCTCAAACATCTTCGTCTTTCTAGACTTTAAACCATCTGTCTTTTGCATTACCTCAGCTTTTAACCCCTTGGATAAATCCTTAAGAAGTTTACTCTCATCATCTTCTTCATACTCAAAGGATAATCTTTCTGTATTAGGTTCCAATGCTGCAGTAGCACACTCAGCAACAATCATTCCAAGTCTTCGTACTTTGTGTTCAGGGCTTTCAAGATGGTTTTGAACCCCAATAAGAAGCTTCTTCAGTAGCTCATGTTTATGAGTTTGCCGCTCGTCGTTGCTGAGGTAACCAGTTATATGAAGTATACAACAACTGATATAGACATGTTGATTATAGGGAGTATGTGTGATAGCACTGTTACTACTCCAACTATCGAACAAAGCACACAGTGCTGCAATTAACAAATGTCTTCTCTTGCAGCCTGAGAGGTACCCTATAATATTAATTAAGACTTTGACATTAGAGTAATATCTCAACAACAAGAACTTTGTAGTGAACAGGAATTCAAGTCTTGAATTTGTCAAGATACTGTCACCAAGAAGTTTTCCAACAATGCCAGGGTTTTTGGCCTCCTTGAGGAGATTCTCTATGACAGGCTCAATAACATGATCTGGAATTTCTGCGATTAATTTTTGACAAATGTGGGACCACAGAGGGCTCGTCATGGTCCATTTTTCAAAGGATGGCAGAAGAACACCCACAATGCTCTTCCCATAGCCAGACATGCACAGTCTACCAACAACTTCACTCAGAAATAAGAACGAAACTTCCTTGACGTTACTGGCCAACCTTGAATGAAGATTTTCCATTGCCTCTAAGATCTGTTCAGCTACCTTTACAAAATATTTGTCTGGATAGAAGATCGAGTTCATTTTTGACCTGAGTTTGTTGGCAACTCTCTCTGGCAATGAAACAATAAGTGTCACTAATTGTTTTTCACTAAAATTCCTTTGCTTCAAAGTAAAATCTGTGTCAACCTGGTTCAAATTCATGGATTTCTGAACAAATATATCCACAAATCTTTTCTCTTCGACGAATTTCTCAAGCAGAGAAATGATAGTTTTAATGTTATTTGTCTTTGAAGACTGTGACATGGCGCCAACAAGAACTGGAAAGCATTCCGAAGCAGGACCTTGTAGGAAGAAAGAATCCAACTTATTCTTATGTTCTTCATCAAGATTTGGAAGAAAATTGATCACAGGCTCACGGAGTAAAATATCTGCGAATCCTACGTAATGCTTCCTGGAGAATTCTTCTTTCAAAAACTTCTTTTCGTCTAGAGAACTAAAAGAAGGCAAAGAACCTTGAGAGAAGACTTCGTGTATTACAGCCAGTGTTTCTTGGATATCTTCGACATTTGTCGCACTTGAAACTCTCTTTTGTTGATCATGAACAAAGCACTGCAGCTCAATGGATAAAGAAAAGTTGTCTTCCATTTTATAAGGACAGAAATTTTTAAATGAGAAATTTAGCTGAAACGTGCTTCGTCCGCCATTTTCTTTTTTATTTAAGTGAGAAGAATGGGTACCAGTTCTTAGGCTCCTCGGTTTCAGAACCAAAGGGCGTGGCTCTTTTCTTTCTATAATTTCAACAGACTCGTACCCAGTCGTCATTTGTTTCAGGCTTTTTTGCGCGCGGTGGCTTTTGGGAAGGAGAGAGAAAAGTGACCTTTCTCTTCCGTCCTTCCCCTGATGCACCGGGAACTAACTAAATCCTTCCCATCAACCACAGCGTGAGATCAATAAGACAAGAGAAGCGACTGGGTACGAGTCTGTAATTTCAATGAAATCTGCTATAAATCTTGCATTCTGATTGGTTGAAAGCGCGTGCTTTATGAGAGCACTCAGCACGCACGCACCCTTTCTTTTATTCTTTTTTCATTCCTTTTCTCAAAATACCTTTAAGAAATGCTGTATCCATATTCATGCGTCTTCTCATGCCATAAGGGCGGATCCAGAGGGGGTGGGCAAAGGGGGCTGAGCCCCCCCCCCCCCCCCCCCACTTCAGCAGAAAAAAAACAAAAACAAAACTGAAGAATTAGATGCTTTTTTTATTGTTTTCTGTTGTGTTGACGGACGAAACTCAATTAGCCCCCCCTAAAATTTTGGCTGGATCCGCCCTGATTTATAATGTCTAGGGAATGACGCATTTGTGACAACAAATTTAATTTTTCAGCTTTTATTGCGTTTATGCAGACTTATAGATACATGCTATACTTAAATTAATTACTATCAATCAACTATAAATATTCTTCCATTCTCAGTGCTCTGATATTGATACTCTAGTAATACTGAATTTTACTAATTTTTTATCATGCTATAAGAAGTGTTATAAGATACAAAAATTTTTACTTTAGTAGCTAATTTTAGTGTTGCTTTCATTCAGAATTCAGAATAAAATTACTAAAACTTGTACTTGGACTAAAGTATCTCAAAATAATTTTTAGTTAACTCACACAAATATAATTATGGTACTCTCATTTACTAGCTTCCTACCAGTCTTAGGAAACAATGCTTACTATCACACATCCTGGGGAATCCGAGGGTAAAATTCTGTCACTTGTTTCCAGAATTTTACTCATGGTTTCCTAAGGATGGCTATCACAGGCCAGAACAAGTTGTTCATTCTCTCATAATTGTTAAATAGAAATAGAAATCTCTCTTTTTTAGGAATCTTTGATATAATATTTTGAATAACAGATGATCGATTGATTATACATCTTGTTGCTGTATAAAGTAGCTTTACATTAGGGGAGGATCCAGGGATGGTGAAGGGGATGGCATTATCTTTTAGTAAGCCAACCTCCTTTTCCCTGCATTCCAGGTAAAACCGTTGTAATAGTCAGCCCCTTCTTAAATCCCTGGATCCACCATTGTATATAATGATTGTGGAAACATTTAAAACTCGACTGAAAAGACAGTCCTGGAATAAATAACAAAGGTTTAGTATCAAAATTTGTGAGTAATATTGAGATTAAATGACTCCGATCCTATAGTATGCAGAACTTTTCTTCTTACAAACTGTCCAGTTAGGTCTAGCATTGTCAAGATGTAGTTCGCTATTCCATAACACAGCTAGGCATCAAGGGCAGTTTTTGATACACACTCCTCATATTTGCCCCTATAAACAAGTCCTTGAGTCTATCCTTCTAACAATATGGTGCTGTCAAGTTGTGTTTTCCCTTGGTGCAGTTTGAGAAACAATGGAAAAATGGAAATCTTCAAAACTCTGTTGGTGGTGTAGATCCTAGTGTATCTTTAGTATTCACACTAGTTTTATCTATTTATCTCTTCTTATCTTTAGTACTGTACATTGCAAGCAATTTTCACAAAAGCATTGCAGTTTGTCATTATTTTTGTGAAACAGTTCATCTTGGGTGAAGAGAACTATTAGAATACTGGCGATACATCGTTAATGGAGTAACTCCAGGTGTGACTCTATTAGGTTGATTGATCTGATATCTTCTCTTGTGCTCCCTCCGATGGTACCACATGAACGGACACAGCATGAACATCATCTCTGTCTTGTAGTCTTCACAGCAATTTGCAAGAAGCAGCGCCAGCGATGCTCCAAAACAGTAGGTCAGGATCTCTGTCACACCATCAGCGGCTTCATGAATGCTGCCATACTGGCTGTTATCAAGCAATAGGAAGATACATCTTGGGATCCAGAAGATAATAAAGCTGAATAGCACCTTCATAACCACCCGTGCCCATGTTGCTTCTTGCGTCAGTGTTGGGGCCTCTGAATAATCCAGATTTTTGACTTTCCGTCCACTGATGTCAACAGATCTAAAATGATTCATCCTTGCTTTGGTGATTCGGCAGTGAATAACAAGCATCAGGATGACTGGCACCAGGACTTCAATAACTACAAAGCAATAGACATAGGGACGGCTGTAGATCTGATTAAGCTTGCAATCCCAAGTGGGCCTCGGTGATTCTGAGGAATGGAAATTGGCTGGTGGGAAAGAAACTATTACAGCTATCACCCAGAGAAATGCAATCAAAGTAAAGACACGGCAAGAGGACAGCATTTTCTGGTATCTTGCAGATCTTGGGATCGAAAAGTAGCGATCAACGCTCATTGCAGCCATAGAAAGCACTGTAATTGTGCAACAGAAGACAAACATCACGCTGTAAATCTGACAGAGTTCAGCACGTTCAATCCAGCCAGGTTTGTCCAAGAAGCTCATTACTCGTATGGGCATGACAATAATTGCCATCAAGAGATTCCCAAAAGCTAAGCTCATGATGTAACAATGATTCGTATAGCGAAGTTTGGTAGTCTTATTTCTTATGATAGACAGAACGATCAACAAGCTGCCAAAGACTGTAAACAAGATCACTATCACAAAAGCAATTGCTGTGATGGCGTCGCCTGAATTCGAAATAAAGCCATGGAATTTCGATGTACCATTAGAACGAAGATCTGATGAAGAAGGGCTTGAATCCATCGCCTTCAAAGGGCTCATCTTCCTTGAGGTCTTGAAGTTTTGATTTCTTGAAAATCAGTCAAAAATCAAACTTTACAGGTTGGGCTCAGGCTTCAAAATGTCGACTCTTTTGACAAAAAACGATGTTAAAATAGAAGTAAATTATTACCAAAGGCTTTCTTAATTCTTCCTTGGTTTGTTATAGATGTTGTTACGGTGTTTCAAGCCACAAGGATCGATATTTTTTGGATTATTTTGTACATGAAGATCAACTGTAATACGACGCGGAGTTAATCCCTCTAAGGCATTCAGTTACTATGGTGATCATCACCAAACAAAAGAGGTATTTCCGGCTTGTATTTTTGAGGACTTTTGTACTTTTTCCGTCATTTATTCCTCCTTTTGTCGCTTTTGAACCTGTAGAGGTGATAAAACTTTTTGATAAACGAATTTTTTTGGCCTAAAAAAATTAGCGACAAAAACTCTTGAAACCACAGGAACCCCAACGGATGATTTTATTTATTTATTTTATTTATATTTTATAAAAAATATTGTCAGTCAAAGCTGGTACCTCTAGCGCCTTCGTGATCGTTTATTTAACAAGTTTGTATTAGTTAGCAAGCCAACTCAGCTTATTAAAACTACGGGTTTTTTTACTTTATGTTTTTAATCAAGTGGGTTTCCTGTGTCGCAAACCACCTGTCAATGTGTTGACGGTAAGTGTGGAAATAATTTGAAAATCCTATTTGGAAGTTAGAAGAAAGCATTAAAAATGTATGTTTATATACTTAACGATAAAAATGAAAATCTTTAAGTGAAGAGATTTTTTTTTATTTTATCGAGAAAACTATTCGTGTAGCACAAAAAATAAATGGCGTGGCAGAATATTAAGGCGTGGCAGGAAGCAAGTTGAAACTGTATCAAACCGAGCTTCGATTTTTCATTGGTTTGTTGATCAAAAGATCTTTGCTTCACCGTGTGACCCGTAAAGTATTGAATGCGCTTCAACGCACAAAGCAACCAGCGGAAAAACCATAAATAATACACGAGTACAAATAAGCTTAACTACTGATCCATCGCTGTCTAGTTAACTCATTCTGTAAGAATTTTGCTTTCATTCGTGGTGATTTTGACAGTGTTTTGCCATCTGTTTTCAATATTTCTAGTGACAAGATTGAAGGTTAGACTACACAATGTTTAAAAATTCAAATCATCTAGTTTGTAAGATCTTATTTGTCGTGGCATTCATTTTCATAAAGGATTCCATCGCCAGAAGCAAAGGTAATTAGCATAATTGTTGAAAACGTCATCCCATCAACTAAAATTTTAACTTCATTTTATGATATTTTCAATCAAGATTTTACTACAAGATGTATGCCCTTGTTTTACGAACTTGATAGCCATTGATAACCATAGTAGCTAGCTACCAAACCTGTTGCCCTCGTCACTGGAAATAGATTTCTTTCGAAATGGAGTACAGAAGTGGACAATCGCCTATCGTCTTTGGTTCTGGCAACTTTTTGAAATAGGTTATGCACAGCATTTGCGCAATGCCTGGTGACGGTTAATGAGTTCCCAGCAAAGCGGTGAACGTGGCGCGCAAAGCATGTAGACACGCGCGCATATTATATTTTAGTCAAAAGAAAACATAAAAATAAGCAAAAGTTGGGTTACACTAGTCTGGGAATATGGACCGGAGTCAAAACAGCTAAACGCGTTTTGATTCCCTGAAACATAATATACCGCTCAGCTGCTCTGGTACTGATCTAGCTATTTCTTTTTTCAGAGAGCGCACCGAGGGACGTTCGTTACGACGATCAACTCAAACGAGACAATACTGGAGTTATATCAGATAAAGAGGTCTGGAGTTCCTCTGGGTCCGGTTTTGGGACCACTCCAAGAGAAAATAAAGATACCGCGCAGGTAGCCAGCGCCACAGTTCCTATTCTTCCAGCTATGCCGAGATTCAAAACAATATCAGATGAACTCAAATGGAAATTCAACAAAGCCAGAGAAAGTTTGAAGAAAGCAAAGCAATATGTCGCTCTGGCTGAACTAACCGCTGCCAAGAAACATCGCGGTACAAAAAACGAAAAGGAAGTCAAGAAGATTATTACTAATACCGAAGTTGCTTTGGTTCACGCCGGGGATAAAATGGGCCTTGATTACGTGCATTATAAGAGAAGTATCGATGATGACGACGAATAGTTATTGATTGGTACTACTGATGCCGACTATATCTATCGATTGGAATCACGAAAAGAATACATAAACAATATACAAATAATAAGAATAAGAATCTGGACAAAAGGCACAGTCGATTCATGAGTCGCGGAAAAAATTTGCGAATAAAAAAGAAATCGGCAGGATTGGCAAGAGAAAATTGGTAGGATTTGGGGTGTTTGATACTACAAGTGCAAGGGCGGATCCAGCCCAAATTTTGGGGGGGGGCTAATTGAGTTTAGGGGGG